GGCCCCCCCCGAGCCCCCCGGGGTTTTTTTTTTAAGGGGTCCCCAAAGGAGGGGGGGTTTTAACCGTTCCCCCCCCCCCCTTGGGCCTAACCTTGGGGCTTGGGGGTTTCCCTTTTCCTATTTTTTTTTGCAGTTTTTTGCCAATTTTGGGAGGGACCTTAATGCCCCCTCGGGTTTTTGGTTTGTCCCCCCCTGGTGGTTTTTTTTCCTGGGGGGTTTTATCCTTTGACTTGGCGCTTTCCGGTTTGCCCCGTTTTGGGAAGACCCCCCCCCCCCCCGATGGCAGCCCCTTTGGGGGGGGGCGTTCCCTGGGGTTTTCAAGGGGTCCCGTCCCCTGGGGAATTGCCCCCCAAGGAGCTTTTGATAAAAAGGAGGGGGGACTTTATTCTACCCCCGGAAAGTCCCCCCAAAACATTTTTTTTCCCGGGTTTCCATTTGGGGGGGGGGGGCCCCCCCCCTGTTTGGTACCCCCCCCGCAAAATTAAACTCATCCCCGCTGCTAGGGGGGGGGGGGGGTCCCGAACCCCCTAGCAGCAGAGGGCACTGGACCCAGTTTTCCCGCCTTTTTGCCCCCCCCCCCCCCCCCCGGCTCGTGTTTGAGCGGTACGCTCGAGGAGGTTGTGTTCACCGTGCCTTCGAGCCCAATACACCTTCGTCGTGTCGAGTGCTGGCGTTTTGCTAAAGACTTGTGACCATGTGAGTCTATCTTGTACTACCACACTAAAAGCCGTATAGTGAGCCACTCCGTATAGTGAGCCACTCACTCGGGCGTCTCGGCTGACGTTGATCGATCTGGCCCTAGCCTATCGGTCCCCCGCTCGATCCTCGGATCGCTCGCTCGTCGAAATCGATCGACTGAAGTGTCGCCTTGCCCCCGTCGCCCGGCAAAACTGTCAGGTCCGCCGCGACGCGTCGCCGCAATGGCGGGCAGCGACGTGGTGGAAGCCATGCAGCTCGCCCTCAAGCCATTTCATATGCAGCACCTTGCCGACGACTGGGCGGCGCAAGCCGGCGAAAAAATCTCGCTCCAGCTGTCTGTAAAGCCGTGCAGAGCTGCCACTTGCCAGCACCCCCCAGCACCAGAGCTCTGCTGCTGGGGGGGGGGGGGGGGGTCGGCCATGACCAGGCCATGACTTTAGATGTGCAGGGGGGGTACCGAGCAGAGAGAGAGAAAAACAACTTTTTGGTTTGTGTTGCCGAGCAGTGTGCGGCCGCTCCGGCCATCACCACACTCCCTAGCTCAACTGGCGACCCTATAGGGTCGCCAGCCGATCGTGATTCATCGCATGAACGGCGCCATCTCCGTATGGCGACGCCCGACGTCTGCGGCAGCGCCGGCGGCGAGGGTCGGCCGCTCGCGTTGAGCTCCGCCGGTGCGGTGCTGAGCGCAGCTTCAACGGGCTCCAGCGCGCAGGTGCGCGGCGTGCGCTGCCGCGTGCTCGACCTCTTCAGCGCGACGGTGCCTCACATCTTCGACCCGACCGTCTTCAGGCAGGGCGACCCCGTCCACTTCAAGTTCACCCGCCCGGCAGCCTACACCATCGACCCCATCGATGATGGCCGCCGCGTTCGCTTTCTAGCGGCGCTACGGTAGCGGCGTACTGTGGTCTTCCGAAGCACGAAATAGCACTAGATTACCAAACGCAAAGCCTCACCCGCTGTCACGTCCCATCCCACACAACATCAACAAGCCGGTCGCGGTCTCCGCGCACGCCGCGCACCTCGGCTCGCGAGATCAGACACGCCGTCGTTCATGTGCACGTCGCCGCCTTGACGCTTTAGGCCCCGCGAGCGTGCACTGAGGTCAGCACGACTCGTCCCGCCTGTGGGAAAACAGTGGAAGGAAAAAGAAAAGTCACGGCGTCTGTTCACAGCCCGACAGGCCGCGGCGACAAATGTGAGCACACATATGCAGTCGGTCCGGTCTACTCCCCTCAAAATTTCATGTCTTGCCGCGTCGCGCCACCCTCGTCACGCGGGGGCACGCGCGTGTGGCGCGTACGCACCCAGAGCCCCAGCGCCGCCAGCAGCACGTCCACCGACGACAACGTGGCACACGCTTTGGACGCCGAGGTCGCGGAAATAACAGCGTCATTGATTCGAGCGGACATTGCAGCGGGCCGCGCCAGCCTTGGGTGCAAGCGCGCGTCTACCTCGCCACCCGCTGACGAGGGTGGCACACGGCTCACGTCGCACTGTGCTAGAGTCTGCGACAAGCTCGCCAAGATGAGCTACGAAGACATGCGGGACCTGCAGCGCGCCGAACTTGCGGGGCCCACTGAGGCCGGCTACGCGCTCGCGGAGGCGCAAGAACCTGTGGGCCCATTCCCAGCCGGATAAACTCGACTGAGAGCCCCACATCCTATTTGCCGCGTTGCCTTCGATTTCGCGGCGCCCCTCTCCGCGCCGCACCGCGCCGCGCCCCCGTGCCCCCCCTGTCCCCCAATTTTGTGCGCCGTCCGTCAGAGGAGCGCTCTCACCCCGGCCGGCGGCCCAACCGCCCACGGGCGTTATAGAGCCGCGGGCGCCCCGGGCCCCGCTGGCGCTGCGTGTCCGCCTCAGCTCTCCCGTTTTTAGCCGTATCCCGTAAGCCCCCGCGCCCGTGTGCGCGCGTTTGTGTGTGTGTGTGTGGCGTCAGCACCAGTGCCAGTGCCAGTGCCAGTCAGTGCCAGGACCAGTGTACCATTGAAGATTTTTCTTGAAAACAACACGCCCGGCCTCCACAAAACTCCTGCGCCCCCAACACGTTTTGAGACGTGTGCCTGCCCCCGGCCCCCGTGCCGTCCTACGGCTTTACGGCTCTACGGCTCTGCCATCTGCAGTGTCGCCGCTCTCATCGGCGCCAAGGACCGCATGTCGCTTGGCCTCGGCAATCTCATCGGAGAAGAAGAGGAGGTTCTCGCCTCAGGCTCCCACGAGACAGTCGTCGCTGGGGGAGAAGTACCTCCACCGCACAAGCAGCTCCCACCCCGTCGGCTGCAGCCGCGCCTAAAGGAGCGCGTGCACGCAAGCAGCTGCGTGAGGGCACATGGTGAGGCAGCGCGCCCGGACCTGCGGCCGCACCTGCATGATCCACCTCGACGCCCACGCCGCCCCGCTGAAGCAAGCCTGTCTCGCCGGCGGGCGTGCTCCGCTGCTTCCTCCTCGCAGCAGCGGTGGCAATTGGCGGCTACGCCCTCGCCCTCTGCTGGCCTGGCGGCACGAGCATGATGGCCGAGTTCAAGCAAGAGATCATGGCCGAGATGCAAAAGAAGGACGACGCGTTCAAGGAGGAGATGAAGAAGAAGGAGGAAGCGTTGGCGGATTTCATGGCCGAGATGCAGAAGAAGGACGAGATGATCGCCGCGCTCAAGGGCAAGACGGACCACAAGCAGGTCCAGATGTCGGCCGGCGGCGAGGTGGTTGAGCTGGTGAGCGCCGCGGGCTTCAAGGCACTGGAGACGCGGGTGGAGGCGTGCAAAAAGGGGCTCGCCGCGCAAGACGCCAAGATCGGCGCGCTCCGCGACAAGCCGACCCCGCCCAACCCGCCGGCCACGGCTCGCCCGCCGGCAGCGGCGCGGCGGCAGCTCTCCTCCGCGACCGGCGACGAGACCGAGATCGCCATCACGGGGAGGAAAGCGACGCTCTCCTTCAACAGCCGCACGCCCGACCTGACGCCGACCAGCCTGACCGGCGAGGGGGGCGGCAAGCTCACGTGCAGCGGCGAGCTGCATGCGACGGATTTTGTCACGGCGGAAGGAGGAAGTATCACCGAGCGGATCGAAGCGCTTCGCGAAAATTTCACTGACGAGCTCGAGGCGGTTCGGAAGTTTGTCAGTGGGTTCCGCCCCCGCTGTCTCCTCCGCTCGAGCCGCCTCCCTCGCCCCCGCCACCCGGCGCAGGATGGTACATGGCAAGCTATGGCCAGAGCTGCACGAGTGCTTGTGCTGCCGTGCGGTGGGGCTCCAATGCACAGAGAGCGACACGATCACAACTCTGAAGTGGACAGCTCTGACGAGATGAAGGCTGTCCTCACATCCGCCGGCATTGCGATCCCCTGCAGCGAGGGGGACCCTGCTGGCTGCTCCTGCGACGGATATTGGGGCACGAATGCCGATGTCCCGGGTTTCAGTACTCTTGACGCAGTAGGATGGTTCTGAGCACACTCAGATCAAAACCGCGCGCTGAGCACTTTCTCCTGTGCTGCAGCGCCTGCCTCGAACAAGCGGCGAGCGTGCCACTGCAACGACAGCTCGTGATTACAGTGGGAGGACGGCACGACGCCACCACACAGGAATTTCACGGGAAGGAAGGTATCGATCATCCGACCAACCCTGCATTCGCGGGCCTGGGTGGGCGGTAAGCCGTCATTGCTCATTGCCCGGCGCTGCTATGCAACGCTCTGGGTGGTAGTGGCGGCGCTCCAAGAGTGGTGCTCTTGGGAAGATGTTCCTGCTTTCCGCTCTCCCCCCGCAAGGCGCGAGACACACGACACTAGGCACGGGACTAGGAATTTTACAACGAAACTCCCTCGCACGACAGTAGGCACCGGAGGGCTGCAGCCTGCACTGTTTGCCGGGAGACAAGACTCACGACGGATATCCATATCGGATTCGATACGTCCGAGCCTGACTGTTCTTCACCTACCTACCTACCTACCCTGGCCCCGCCGGGAATGTTGAAGATACGACGCGCAGCCACACGAGGCCCCGCCGCACGCTATCTCGAGAGCCTTGCAATGGCACATTTGGGAACGCGCTGACCTGCCCTACTCCTCAAGCAATGCAGCCGTCAGTCGCGCGAGGGCTAGCCCGCCGTGAGGTCGACACGCGGACCCACGCGACCGCGACACAGAGAACGACTACAGATACGAGAAGGCCAAGGCGAACAGCCAGCCACGGCATACTTGCCTGCAGACAGTCGTCTGCATCCATGCCCGATACATCGTCTTCATTGCAAGCAGAGTCTACAAACAGCAAGATTGCAATGGTTCTTGGCACGGTGAGCGGCCACCTCAGCATGATGGCCATGGGGTCGTGCACAAAGGCTGGGAAAAGGAAATGGTCCAAGGGATTGAGCCACACGCATGCGAAGAGGAATGTCATTGTGCAGTACGCGTCGCCAGCCACATTCACGAGCTGTGAGAGGACGGAGCCGACCGACTGCTTGCGCAGAAGCGGCCAAATGCCTGCCATGACATGGATGCAGAGGAAGATGCATGCTTGAAAAGCTATCAGCAGGCTCTCGCACTGAAGTGGGCCCCTGTTGCCGACTAATCCCTCGAGAGGCTTAAAGGTGACCATGAAAGACTCAGGCTCGAGGTTGACGGCGACCATGGCGAGCCCGAGCACCGCCGCATACAGCCGATTGAACAGCCACATCAAGAAGCGATGCGGGTCCGCGTTACCCGATTCCTCCGCGATGAGAGCCTCGATTGCTTCACTCACCTCCTCGCGCTGCTCAACAGGCAGGAGAAACTGTGCGAGGAGGTCGTCAACGAAGGTGGCAAATGTGATTGCGATGCCGTCGAGCAGGAACTCCGTGCATGTGTCGCCTGCGTCTATGCGGGTTGCATCGTATTCATTGCAAGCAGAGTTTGCGAATAGGCTTGCAGTGATATCGGGAACGGAGTAGAGCGGCCACATCAGCATAACGGCGAGCGGGTTGTGCAAAAAGGCAGGAAAATAGTAACGATTCGCCGGA